TGTGCTTGGCTGTACATGTTCATATCCTTGAAGATGTATCATGGGGGTGTTGCAACCTAGAAGACACAAATTTAACTAACAAGTTATAAGTATATGAGTCAAAAATTATGGAAAAGTAAAAGAAAAGATTCTTTCATTGTTTTATATACCCTCCCCCTTGCTATTCATTTTAATATTTAAACTTTGCACAGGACATTTTAAGAATTGATTCTATGCATTTGTTAGCTTATCATCTCGTTTAGGGGAGATGTTCTATATTTTTTACATTGTTTAAATCATTGTTTTGTAGGGATTTGATGAAAATGGAGATGTTTTTAGAGCTACCTGTGCAGCATTCAGATGTACTCCTGTTTCTGGCAGGTTGGAAAGTCACAAAATCCAAAAGGTAAGCTTTGACAATGTCCCACATTTAGCTAGTGAGACTGTGGTGCTAGGCACACAGGAGTGCCTTACTTGATTGCATGCAAATCACTTTGTTTCACCTAATGTTGCTGCTCAAAGCGTCAGCATGTCACAAGAGATGATTACATCAGAATACAAATTAATAAGCCATTTCATTCAAAAAACAAGTCTTGTAATGGAAAAATTATCAGCGGATGAAAACATCAGAATACAGGTTCTTCATATTTTCAGAGCTACAACATATTGTTTTTGAAAAACAAAACTATCGTGCACTTAAAAAAATTCCTATCGCATTGATTGGCAAAAAAATAAATAAAAATAGGATATTGTTTTTATAAAAGAACAATAGTATTTTAAGATGTAAAAACTACCCAAAACAACCAACATACTCGGTGCAATACCTATAAAAGCTCAAAGTGGTGTTTTGATTTTGTTTTTTTTGTTTTGGATGTTTTTAATTGTAATTTTAGTCAAAATGTACAAAGAGATTGGTTTTCATTAATGTATACATACACATTTCCCTCCCTCCTGCTCCCCCAATTCACTTTGTAATGCTTATCCTGTTACAGATTATTGTCATTCATATATTGTCTAATTATTTGTTCCTTTCAGATTGTCCTTCCCTTCACCTATTCAAGGACAGTGTTTATTATGCATTCTTTCTCTGCTCTCCTTGACTCCTGTATCATCTTATTGTTATAACTAACAGTGGTTTATGCAGTATTTGGCCTTGTGTGACAGAGATTTCATTCAGTATTGTGTCTTCCAGACTCATCAGTGTTATGTAGTGTTTTACTAGTTCAGTGTTTTTCAGAACTGTAAATTATTCAATTGTGTGGATCTACTAGTTTCTCTTATTTGTTTTGTCAGTGGATACTTGGGCAGCTTCCATTTCTTATATCTTGATCCATTCAATAAAGAAGGCTCTTTTCTCCACTTAATATTTTCTAGACCCTTGTCAATGATCAGCTCCCGCAAAGTTGTTGTTGTTTGTTGTTAAGTGCCGTCGAGTCGTTTGCGACTCATAGCGACCCTATGTACAACAGCCCTAAACCCTGCTGTATCCTGTGCCAATCGCACTGCCTCTGACACACCCAT